TATAAACATGATTTTTGAATTGGTATAAAGAATACACCTTATTTATGAATTTTTTCCTATTCGAATCATGTTGGCCCTCAAATTTGAGCCCGCTGGCCCCAGCCCGCACACGTTATACTCCAAAAAAATTAAAAATAAAAAAGTAGCCCTTGAAAGAGGTTTAGATCATGTTTTCGTGGGCTTGCTTAAAAGATGCCAAAGTAGGCTCTCCTAAAGAGGGAAGGCGCCTGTTCTCATGTTTGCTCTCTACTGTTGTTTTCCGAAAGATTTTTTCGGATTTTTATATAAATTAGTATTAATAAAAATGCGTGTTTATGATTCAACCTCTAATTTAGTGAAATCATTTAAAATTTATCAACCACAAACAGGGTTTTCTTCAATATACTCAAAAAGGATATATAAGTTACACAATAATTCATGAAAATAAGGGCTAGAAAAGAGTTGATTCAAACTGCATTAACAGTGACTATCTACTTAAAATTTGGCACAAGAAGTGATTTACACATTTCTTGATAAGGAGCTATATTGCCTAAAACAGCAGTAAGATATCACTAAATATAACCCTCACACAACTGAACTAGCCCCCGCTAGATAAACGACAAGACAATCCTGATATCCACCATCACGCCGCTATTTAACTGCGTCGACTATTTTGCTTCTTAGCTTCAAAGGCAGCTCCATCATTGAGCATGTCCTGAGCATCAGTTTCCATTCCAAGCTTGGAGAGGGCGAGAGCCTGGATATAAAATGCAGTCGGCCATTCTGGCAAGCAAACTTGCGCCTGCATTGCATCTCTCAGTGCAAGTTCCGGTTGGCCAATCATCAAGTATGAGAGGGCTCGTCTCACAAATACCGTACCAGAAGGAACAGACATCATTGATACCAGCTGTGCATCGAAAAAACAATGTATATTAGCAGTTGAACTCGCATAATGAAAAAGACAAAGTAAATATGGAAAAGACATGGGAATAGCGACACGAGACAGTATACATTGTGAAAAAGAAGAGCTATATGTTATGACAAGCATATCAAATTTAAAAAAAGAAGGAAGCCTTGTATTAATAGGAGAAAAGATGATTATGAAGCTATGGATTTAAATCAACTTTAGCTTCTTCGTGCACTGGACTGTTAGACAACATTACTTTTTGGAAGACGATGAAAGTTTGGTTCCTAAAAACATAGATGAATGTTTGGTATGCTGGGAAGAAAGTAGTAGATAGGATTAAAGAAGTAAATATAAGTTAAAATCTCATCCGCCATTTGATGGACTACTGTCCAATACTGTGTACCAAATATACCCTTGAGCATTTATATTAGGACCTACCAGATTGTTCTCTTAAAAGTTATGCATATAACTTAGGGTTGAACACGAGGAAAAAAATTATCCCAAACAAGAAAAGAGAAGGTGTAAGCTACAGCAAATGACAAACAGATGGAAGCAAATAAAAAGAAAAAAAAACTACCAAGACAACACCATTGATAGTCAGCGAAGCTCGGGTAGCTCAACAGAAACAGAGATAATAATAGGTTAGATTAAAAAAGCAAGAATGTACCTTTGAATAATTATCAATGGCACTCTTGAAATCCTTGTCCCTGAATCCAATATCCCCAAATTTCTTTGTATTCATCATATCTTGAACTTGCTGGGTCCATTCTTGGAATGAAAGCTGCAGACGGATAAGATTACCAAATGAAATATCTTAGAGCATGTTTGGCAAAGCTTAAATTATAATTTACGCAGATGAGACCTATTTGTTATCCACATTTAGCATGACCCACAATTTACCATCCACTTATTATCCACACATTCCATAGAACTCACAGTTTACGAGCACTTAAAAGCACTACCAAACAAGCACATATTAGCTTGCAAGATCCAAAAGAGAAATAAACTTCAAACAATTATGTTATTCAATATAGGTGTAAGAAGTCAAACTCATGGTTCCCAAATGCACAAGACAAGTAACATCAATATTAAGTCTATGGTTCCCAAATGTGCAAGGTACGTAACATCAATATTAAGTCTAAACACTCCAGTTTCTTTTGTCAATAGTGCTATCTTTCAAATATTTTAGATCTTATAGATAACTTCCAAATTTTTCTTCCCAATATGCCCCTCTTTGAGCCCCATTTTTCCCAAAACTCAATTTCAACCATACATTCTCCCATAAAATAATTTTATAAGTAAACCCAAAACTTTTGCCTATTTTTTAACCACACATTCTCCAAAAAATCACTATTCCAAAATACATTACCCCCAAAAAATGGGGCTCAAAAAAGGGCTAATTGATTATGGAGAAGTGAAATAGACAAATCAGCTCACCTCATTTTCTGCACCCTCTTCGTCTTTATATCCCGTTTTAAGCAAGATGTCATGTACAGCAGTAAGATCCATCCTCGCACAAGCATTTCCAAGAGGAGAAAGCAGGGTAGGTATAACCACGGGAGTTTTCGTAAGACCCATCAATACATGAGAAGCAACCTAGGACACCAATGTGAAGGAGAACAGCTTAGCAAATTCATGGACATGCTCATCATTCCATCCAGTATAGCAGTCTGGTACTTGTAACTCTACCTCTGAAATGATAACAAATAAAAAATAAATAAAATGTTTACCTCCTGCTTTTGAAGAGGGGCCACGGAAGTTAGAAGAAATTTCATATCAGGCCGGTCTCTAGCTTCATATTGGAGGCACTTAGATGCAAGTTCAACTAATGCAGTAGCATCTTCATTAGCATATTGTCCCTCCAAGGATGAGTCCAACAGCAATAAAACATTCTTTCCTCTTATCAAATCCAATGCCTGAAGAAGAATACATACCAATTTTCAACAAACAAATTAAATCAACAGGAAATCCAAACTTAATTTGTGTGGTTAAAATTTTAAATAATGTAAAATAAGTGAAGGCTTCCATAGAGGGAAGCATATTTGACTATTAATATCATTCACCTGTCTGGATTAAATAATACAAAGAATAAGTGAAGACCTCCATAAGGGCCTTTCTTTTCAGAAGAAAATGAAGTGGGCCATTTCGAGTCCGGAATCTCCTGGAGGCTTAAAACTTGGGCTAAGATCTCAGTAAGATAAAACCTCATCTTGGGCTAGATGGTCTATTTTGACATGGACAAGGTACAAAGCATAGCAAATTTACACGGGCATATGACGAGACATCCCGTCCCGGTAAAGCAATTCATCCATGAATTTTAGTATTTAGTGCATGGACACCACCTGCTGATGCACTCTTGTTTTTAGGACCCCACATTGAGGAATGTTAGTCAGAAGCCATCTATTCGTTTTTACTACACCGCCATCATTTGTTAGTTGCTTACACGAATAAAGAATCGGGGTAATCCCCAAAATCATAGATTCTATGAGAAACTGCTAAAAGATTCCTGATATAGTGGAATCTCTGTATTGTTACATATTTTTCCATCCCCCCCCCCCACCTCTCTCTTGATGGATACTAACAGATAATAACAACAAAGTGTAAACTTATCACACTCCCCTACCCAACCAACAATATTAGCTGGTGATAATTTTTATTAGTTAGTTAATGAGATATAATATCGATACACCAGTAATTTTAGTCTTCAACTGGAGGAACTGGCATTTAACTCTGCCAGAATTCTTAAACAAACAAGACTTCAGTACATTTAAAGAAGGGGAAACTACAAGTAATTAAAAGTAGGACCATGGATTATGCATCCTCAAGTAGGTAAAACAAGCTGGACAGGACCAAGACAGCCAGTTATCTTTTAAACCCTGCAAGTACCACGTGACAATACATCCAGTTCAAAAAAATAAACATGTGCTAACTAAGAAGAACCCAGAAATTGTCGGCAGTTAAATCACTTAGTCTTAACTCTCATGTAAGTGATCAAAAGAGTCAAGGTAAAAATGGAAATATTATTCTTAAGTTTAAAATTACTAGGCATAAGAAGTCCGGCCCTAACACTGTCTGAAGTTAAAATTACTGAAGGGGAAGAAGTCTGACCCTTATATAGTCTGAACCTAGTCAATAAGTCATTTTGATGGTTCATAGAATCTTTGAGAACGCAAGGGGAAACTGCAAAGTACCCCACGTTAACTTCTCACAGTTTAACCAACCTTCTAAATGTCTGGTTATCTAAACCATCTCTATGCCTCATTTCTTTTAATTCCTACTAACAGTCTTACTTTTTGTTATGTACACCAATTCACGTACCCATAAACAACAGTACAGGTCCATACCTTTCTTTTGACAAACAACTAATCAATATTAGTTCTTTCTTTGGAAAAAAGCAAGGTTCTTTCGGTATTAATTGACCATTTGGTCGTTGGATTCCCTCTTTTTTCAAGTTATCAATTCCTTTTGAGATGATGTTATATTGAACTAGAGGCATTTCGGTTATTGTATACAAATTATCAGAATGCTTTAAATCTTTTCTGGTGTGTGCTACGCTCATCATCAAGAGTTAATGGTTGAAGGTGATTCATAGGGTTATAGAAATGGGATTAGTACACTGTTTTATACAACAAGGGAGTTAACAGCAAATTCTGAAGGTAATTTGTCATTAACCCAATGATCCCAATTAACATAGTGAATCATGGTAGTGCGTGACAGAATGCACATTACATGGCTAGGAGGAATATGCTTTCCACTCAAAAGGTCCAGTAGAACAGTTCCATAACTGTAAATCACACTTTCTGGAATGACCCTGCCTGAAATTTGGGGAAAGAAAAAGGAAAGTGTCATATAATAAAGTCAGAAACAAGTATATACATAACTTTCAGGTATAATGATTAAAGATCTGATTGCTGGAAAGCAGAAAACTCGCTGATAAAGAAAATATATTTGGAATATAACTTTTCAATGGTATAAATCACAATTACAGAAATTGAAACAGAGGGAACTCATGTATACTCAAGTTCATCAAGAATGGATAAAAATGAAAAATTAACGTATTTACACAGCAGGAAGGGCTCAACTAGATGCCAACTAGATGCACAGGAAGTGTAAATAAAACAAAATGAAAGTGTGCAAAAAAAGATCCACAACAAGTATATGCAGAGGCCATAAGGAATACTAGGTTGATTACATAGCAATCTAGTCGTCAAAACTTGTATTGACCAAATGTTACATCCATGCCTTCAAATTGATGGTCTTTACATAAGTTTAACTCCAAGGTAACTTCTACCACAGGCTATAATTATTTTCTAAAGCAAACAACAGCATTTGTTTACATGCAGTCAATAGGAACTCGATTGAATATTAAAAAAAGGATAAGGAAAATGCATGATGGCCACAGACGATATCCCAAATTAGTTAAATCCAGTGAGCTTGGTATCTGTTTCCTAGCGGTATAGAATTAATCTTTCCAAATCCATGTCCATAGGCTTCCGTGAGAATTTCACATGAGCATCCTTTTCATCATCTTGACTAAGAACATACAAAGAGCAGCCTAAATAGCAGTTTTAACAATGCCCAGGAGTTTCAAACACCGATTAAGTCATAGGTTTTTCCAGATGACAAGTTTGAAACATTCAGAAAATTTTCACAAGGGAACACTCTTCCCGGAGAAAATCTGATCGGTCAAGGATTTGCTCTGCCAATTATTTGTCATTCTGCAATAAGTTAAATGAAAATAACAAATGTTGATCAAGAAACTATTAGAGAGCAATTACTCACTAAATGTTTGTCAGGCTGTGATAGGAAGCATATCGTAAGATATATTTCAACTTTGGCCTTAAGCTTTAAGTAAATATACAAAACAATTGTCAAACAGATCTAGATATATTTACCTTGACTCCTCGGTTAAGCTTCTTTACAACAATACATTATACACACAAATAACAGCACACAAAGAAGAGGCATTTTTCAAACATGATAAAGGAAAAGAAAACTACCAGATAGAAATTCTTGTAAAAGTTATAACAGTATTCCACCATATTTTAAATTTCAGTAGCAAATTCTATAGAGCAAGATACAATATACCAGTGCGCAAAAACTCAGGGGGCGTATAAGCTAGATTGGTGCTATAACTCTTTCCATCTCTGCTGTTTTTCATCAGGCCAAAACTAGATAAACGAGGATCACCATCCTGTAACAGGAACAACCAGATACAATAAATATTTAATGAGTTTCTAAAAAACGCAAATGATCATCCACGCCACCTTTAATAAACAGACATATCACAGCATATTTAAGGAATACACCCTCTTTCAGAGAAAGAAGCCAAAATGAAAATAACAGGGAACATGTTCCCATCTTCGAAAATAGTTTTTGATAATAAAAATGCTGCAACGGTATGTGAGCGTAACAAAGGTTTTCAAATTTTTATGCATCAAATCTTCAGGTTCTATAATAATAAAGATCTGGTATAGATCTGCCCATACAGAGACATATCTCAGTCCAAATTCTGAGGATAAAATTGCTTCTTGATTCTTATAAAGAGATTGCTACATGATTGTTGAGATAAATAAAGATTTACATTTTAGTAAATCACTTTGCGTGGAGAAAAACAAGCAAAAGTGTTTGTTGACATTGAACTCATAAGTTCTATGCATGGGTGGATCTACGGTGAGGGCAGTGAGGTCCGCTGCCCCACACTAAATTTGAAATCTAAGATTTTCAAAAAAATTCCTTATAATTTTCAATTTTGCCCCCACGATTAAAATTTTATGAAATTTGCCCCCACAACTCTACTCTCCTGGCTCCGCCCCTAGTTCTATGTCTGAAATTGGCTTTGGTGCACGTGTAGATTATTTTTTTACTCTATAAAACTCTAGCCCATTATATCTGCTTCGTTAGTTATTGGAGCACATGCTATGTCAAGTGAGCACGAAAGATGAGATGAAGATGTCAAACTAATCATCATTGTTCTCTTGTAACTAAATAAGTTCCCTAATGAAACAGTCCGCTATTAATCACGTAATCTTCAGAAAGAATTTAACAGGGCATCACAAGAGGGGTTCCCAATCGCATGTGGATCAATAAATAAGAGTTTTTATTCTATCTAGAGGAATCGCTAAGATGGGACCTGTTCATTAAATTGATGTGTCCAGAATCACAGATCTTGAATGAGAAACAGAGTTACAAATAATTTAAAGTTTTATCCACGAGTTCCCTAACATTAGTTGATAGTTCAATAACCTCCGTGCAATGAAGCACTCATATTCAAAAAACTTAGACCGAAAAATGGGAGAAAAATTAATATATATACATCATAATACAATATTAGATTTTGTCAAAGACAAAATTATGAGTACTGATTGTTGTTTAGAAGTACCTCATCAAAAAGAACTCTGAAAGCGTTTAAATCATGATAGATTTTTCGGTTTTCAGCATTGCAGTGGTCAAGAGCCTGTGCTATATGATTTGCAACTCTCACACGCATTTCCCATGGCAAAGGTTGTTTATCCCCTACAGCAAAAATAGAAGTCATGCATACAACAGAAGACAGGGCATGAAAGTACCAACAAACTTGAACAAAATATTTATTACGTAAGACTTTGAAAAACTGTCCACAAAGAAAGCAATTCAAGGGAGAAACCCAACAGTCGATTCCTTATTTCATACGTGGCAAAAATGCCAATTTGGCATCCCGATTAAATCAGATGGCACAGAATATCATATATATCATTTACATAATCTTCTTCCTTGTGTGTACAGATGAGAAGTGGGAAAAAAAAAAAGGCAACAAAAATCATATCTAAAAGATATATGGCTGGAAAGTAGAACAAATCAGTTATAGCACGTAGTATGTTTAAAAAGTCCATTAGAAAGGCAAAAGACTAATATACATACAGTGAAAGAGGTGCTTTGATAGTGTATCATTAGGCATAAATTCAGCAACTAATAGACGCTCATCCCCCTCGGCACAACATCCAATTAAGTTCACCAATCTCATGTGTCTAACCTTACCAACACCAGCAGCTTCTGCCTGCAAATGAATCTCATGAGAATCACAGAACTGATACATGATTTTTAAATCAAAAACAAGACTCAAGAGAAAAGAATGGAAGATAAACATATCAATCTAACTGTTACAGGCAGATTTGTAAAAAAACTCAAACTGATTCCACAAACCACAAGAATCCTCTTAAAGAAGTAGGGAGTGTATTTGTTGTACTTAAAAAGTTACTCTTCCAGAAAGTAAGTTGAGATCTACTTTCAAGAAAAATAAGTTTTGTTACTAATACAAGTAACTTCCAAAATCACTTTTGGAAAAACAAGTAACTTAAAAGTACTTTTGACTTTCTTTATGGAACAACCAAACATGCTCTAAAATTATCAAAACCAACAGTGCCACGATTGGTTGACTATCACAATATATTTTAATTACTTGTACATACAGCTTCAACTTTCCCATACGTGGAGATAAAAATCTGAATGACACAACTTGAACATCAAAGACCACTTCCCATTTTACTTTAGCATTCAGCATATATGAATACAGAACTTTGTGAAATCCAATCAACTAGAATAGCTAAGTGAAAGCAATCAATTCTTGCAGACTTATGTTGAGGAACTAGACCCTAAGGAAGAATAAAGGAAACCTGGGAGCGTTGTCACAGTTCGGAAGCATGAAGCCAAAATGCATTTTTTAAGTTTAGATTTTCCATTTTCCTTAAACTGTTCTCCTACTTAGTAAGCTAGATTCACAAACTAACATCTAAATTGGAAAACCGTAAAAAAATAACAAAATTACCACAAATTGTTGGCGGTCGGGCCATGACTGCTTTGTGAAGCGCTTAATTGCAACAAGCCGATTATTTCGAAGCTTCCCTCTATAGACAACATTTGGAGCCTTCTCTCCACTCTCTGAAACAATCAAATCGCTGCTGAACTCATTTGTTGCAGATCGCAGCTCCGTAAGGCCAAATTCTTGGAATGCAGGCACCAGATCTTGATCTCCTTGGTCCCCATTTGCTTCATCAATATTCAACAGTGGTCCAAAACACCAAAAGCGAAAGAACAAAATATAAGTAAAAACGGAAGCATAAAACGCCTATGCCATATGCATTAATGTAGATGTTGCATACTAAGATATGAATTCAGAGTTCCTCAATCTAAATTCGGCATGTTTATCAACAATGAAGTTCTCTTTTTGTAGGTCAAACTTAAACATTTGCCTCAACACACCTAAAGCAAATCAACAAAAACCCAAAAAAAGAATAGAACAAACACAAACCCAAAAATATTACCAGCATATTAACTTGTATAAATGGGGAAAATTGAAATATGTTTCCCCAAGAAATCAGCAAATCATCCAGCAAGAAAAACACGAAAAGTATAAGAAAGATAAACATGGGAAAAAATGAATATGCTAATGCCAGAACTCTTCTGATCCTGTGAGAGCAAGGTGCGGACATTAAAAAGACAATAGAATGATGTAAAACCTCATTGGGTAAAGGTGGTACCTTGCTCAAAGAATAGTAAACACAGACCCACATTCACATAAACTCTCATAAATTAATTAGTAGAACATTTAAAGAAACTATTCTGGGAACCTTTAATACACGTATAATAGACATTTTGTAAATTTTTAAGTAAAAGAGAACTATTTGATAACCAAAAAAAAGGTCATTTTTCATCTAAGCCTTCAAAAAGCAGCCCTTATCAATAACTTTCCGTGGTATAAACCCCATAGACAGACGCAACATTCCTTTAGAATCTCAATACACATTTACATACATAAGCATTAATTACGGAATAAGTAAATAATAATAAACCACACAGACAGACACAATATACACATACACACTTGTACACATTTTATGCAGTAAATATTAAAATGCGGAAAAAAAATAAATGATGCCCACAATAAAGTTAAAAATTTATTAAGCATTAAGCATGCAATCAACCCTTAAATCCCAAAAAAAGAATATCTGAAAATAGAAGTACACACACACACACACATATATATATGAACGATAAATAAAAATAAGGAGGATAACGATGAGTAAAATGAAGGATACCCAGATCTGGTTTGGACTCAGGCTGTGGAGGTTCTTGGTCAGGCGACTGAACATTGGCGGTTTTGGACTGGAAACAGCCCATTCTTTTTGTGCTCACATTCACACACTCACTCCCACTGTTTTTAAGGTATAAGTAACTCTGTCTTCCTGTATATATATGTGTGTGAGTGTGAATCGAAAACCTTAATGGGTTTGTAAGAAAAGTTTGATGCTGGGAAGTTCTAAGAAAGACTTCGGGAGGACTGCGTTGTGTATGTATTTTGTGATGATTAGAGCACAAGCAGGGACTGATGAACAGAGACGGGGTGAAGTGGCAGGGGTGGTCTGCGGTATCACATGATAAATCGATGATTGGCACGTGAAGAGAGAGAAGTGTGTATGTGTTTTCACTTTTCAACTTTGTTTTCACCTTTGCAACGCGCGCGTGTGGGTGTGAAAGGGAGACAAGGAAGGAGTTCGTAATATCGTGTCCGGCTAAACTGGAATAAGAGTAAAGGAATATTTGTTTTTTATTCTCAAAATTTACAATAAATCAATTTTCATTTTTAATTACACATTTTTTAATAAAATAATATTTTTCATCACATCAATAAATTTTTTTTTCTTTTTCAACCACACATTTCCCATCATATCACTATTCAAAAATCAATTCTTCACCCAAAANTAATAAAATAATATTTTTCATCACATCAATAAATTTTTTTTTCTTTTTCAACCACACATTTCCCATCATATCACTATTCAAAAATCAATTCTTCCCCCAAAAATTCCTACCAAACAAGCACTAAAAGTATTTTTTTTTTTAAAAGGTAACTTTTTAGAGAAAATAGTATGGCTAAACTCGAGCCGGCTCGAGCTTTTCCCGGGCTGGGCTACAGACAAGTTAAGCCGACGAGCCAGATTGACATCCCTATATGAACTTGAACGATCCTTTTAAAATTATAAACTATGGGTAAAATTAAATCAATAGTGTGAAGAAAAGATGAGTAATTATTGTAAATATATCAAGTTTTTATAAGGTCGACAAAAAAAAAAAAGTAGTGCTTTTTTAACTTTTTTTAAAGTAACTTTCTAGTGTTTGCTTTTTTATTCTCTACAAATCAACGCTGAACGGTCGTTGCATTTTATTATGAAATAATTTATAAGTATACACGTGACAATGAATCTTAAATCATTTAATTAATTTTCAATTAAGTGAAACTAGATGTTAATTAGAATACGTGAAGAATGAAATGAATTCTTAAGTGTGAAATTCTAATTAACTTCTAATTAGAATTAATAATATTGAAGTACATAAATGAATATTAATATTAATTAAATGAATATGAATGTTAATTAACTGAAAATTAATAATATGGAATTCGTACATTAATGAAAGTGCACGGGTGGAATGAATTTGTCAAATGTACATATACATTGATGATAACTAAATTGTTAAGTAAATTAAANTCAATTCTCATTTTCAATCACACATTCTTCAATAAAATAATATTTTCCATCACATCAATAATTTTTTCTTTTTTTTCAACCACACATTTCCCATCATATCACTATTCAAAATCAATTCTTCCCCCAAAAATTCATACCAAACAAGCACTAAAAGTACTTTTTTTTTAAAAGGTAACTTTTTAGAGAAAATAGTATGGCTAAACTTGAGCCGGCTCGAGCTTTTCCCGGGCTGGGCTACAGACAAGTTAAGCCGACGAGCCAGATTGACATCCCTATATGAACTTGAACAATCCTTTTAAAATTATAAACTATGGGTAAAATTAAATCAATAGTGTGAAGAAAAGATGAGTAATTATTATAAATATATCAAGTTTTTATAAGGTCGACAAAAAAAATAAAAAGTAGTGCTTTTTTTACTTTTTTTAAAGTAACTTTCTAGTTTTTGCGTTTTTTTTCTCTACAAATCAACGCTGAACGGTCGTTGCATTTTATTATGAAATAATTTATAAGTATACAGGTGACAATGAATCTTAAATCATTTAATTAATTTTCAATTAAGTGAAACTAGATGTTAATTAGAATACGTGAAGAATGAAATGAATTCTTAAGTGTGAAATTCTAATTCACTTCTAATTAGAATTAATAATATTGAAGTACATAAATGAATATTAATATTAATTAAATGAATATGAATGTTAATTAACTGAAAATTAATAATATGGAATTCGTACATTAATGAAAGTGCACAGGTGAAATGAATTTGTCACATGTACATATACATTGATGGATTGATTTAACAATTCATTTAATTTTACATATTGAGAAATGAAAAGTAAAGTATTATTGAAATAATTGAATTATAGTTGGGCAAAAATCGTCCAGAAAATAATATTTAATTCCAATTAAGTAAAATTGAATGTTAATTAGCATACTTGGACGTGAATAATGAAATGCATTCTTAAATGTAAAATTTTAATTAACTTATAATTAGAATTAATAACACTGAAATGCGTAAATGAAAATAAATATTAATTAAATGAATTTAAATATTTAATTAATTGGGAATTAATAATAGAAATTCATACATTAATGAAGTATACAAGTGAAATGAATATGTTAAATGTACATGTACATTAATGGTAATTAAATACATGTTGAAAAATGAAAAGTGGTGTATTATTGAAATAATTAAATTATAATAGGGAATCGTAAAAAA